AGCAAATATCAATACGGAAGGACAGTTAGTAGGAATAATAGAGGGATTCTGACCCAGGTCTTCTGAGGGAGGCGCGGGGGAGGGGCGCGTGGGGAGCGCGGGGGATACTCATAGGCGCAGGAAAAGGGAGAGAGAAGACGCGGAAAAGCCTCGGCACTATCGGTGTTTACTGATATCAACAAGTGATACATGCCGCCATGTTGTGACCATTGTTGTGTATCATTGGAGTCGCCGCCGCCGCCGTCGCCGCTGCCATCACGAGTTCACCACAAAATGCGTTGCGGTACTATAATGTGGATAAAATATTTTGTTTAGGAGATCGGTGACACATCATCGATGTGCCGGCTGCTAAACAAAGCGCCATCAATGAGGGGTAGATGATGAAATCATAGTGCGTTCTTATAGTTCTTTCTTTCAAAGTCAGAAGCGTCGATAACGATATTTATCTGGGAAGAACCGCAAGATTGGTGACACGTCGCGATGCGTTAATAGAAGCGCCGATAACGATATTTTTTCTAAGAAGAGATCGGTAATACGTCATCATTACTGCGACCCAATAGGGGGTAGACAAAGGGACAAAGAAGTTGCAAATGGAATATATAATGGATTATAAGTGCGCAGCACCTCAGTTAGCGCCTTGTAATATTACCGAATCGATCGCAATAAATGTAATGCGAAAAGTGTGGCTGACCATCATGCGGACATTGAGGATATGGATGGTATAAATACAAACAAGTTATTTGAAGCAATGGAAGTAGTATTTGAGGACATAATGGACCAAGAAAAAGTACAATCAAACGATATGTCTTATTGAGTTGAGCGATGGCAATACGGATCACGCAGAGAAATTTATGCATACTTTCGGAAATCCGTGCGTTGAACATTCGTACCAAGCGCTGCATAATTTACTGTTATTATACAACGTATGATGATACCTTAACTTTATGTACAGCATGTATGATTTATTTGCGGAATATTGGCGATAAAGGAATGTATCTCAGGAAGCACAAAGATTGTTCTTTCTATACACTAGACAGCAGGTGGTCGGAATGCGGAGAGCCGATACATTGTATTTCCATGCAGCATGTGCCCACTCTGTGCACATTAAAAAAAAAAACTATTGTGAGCGGTATTGTGAACGAAAATGAACGCGAAAAGTGTGCCTGAAAACTGTGATCCGCGGAGGAGAGATAAAGATGTGCGAATATCGCCGATGAACGCGATTGAGAAATAGATACACGTGGTGCGAAATAGGGAATCATCATCAATGACGATAACGATGATGAAAAGGAATATTGATTCGGACGGTTAGGAGATGAAACGGTGCACATTGACTTCAAAGCGAGATTTTGGTACAAAGCTTTTAATTCAATAAAGAAACAGTGTTATTACTTAATGAAAAGTGAAAAGTAGATTCAATATAGCTGCAGGCTATTAAGATTCCCGCGGGTGGTAAGAAGTGCGTGGAAGTGATGATAACGATAAAGTTAGTGAGGCCATACTATAAGAGAGAGAGAGAGAGACCGTGAGGAGAATCCTGCTAAAAAAGTGTTTCGTGACCTGTGTGATAAGTATATGTGTAATCTGTTTGAGATCATAAATTCATAAAAAAAATAATAATTCTTGTCGTTTAACTAACATCAATTGTCGTTGGGCATGTGTGAAAAATGAGTCGGTGAATTCTCGAGCACAATCATTAATTTGTCGTTTTATGGTAATAAATTAATTCGTTTATACACACACACAGACAACGACAACGGACCATCGAAGGTTCGAGAACAATTCAATCACGCGCGCGAGCGCAGCGCTCCGACGAACACGTCATGCGCGACCACCAATCCTACGCGCGAATTTTCTGTCGCGCATGACTGTTACATCGAAAGTCGAAGAGAAGAAGAAAGAGGCGTCAATCATTATTATACAACGAATGCCACGTAAAAATTACAATTGTGGCAAATTTTTATTGGGCATTATCAAGAGGAGATCCCGGGCCACGAAGGCAATATATGCGCCGATCATCGCCGCTCTCCCTCTCTTAGTGCTCAAAGTATCGCTATTGTATCATGTAGAAAACCGCCGTGAAAACCGCCACGTAGAACCACAGTAAGGAAATCTCCTTCGAGAACCGCTGAGAAATCGTCGCGATTTTCTATTGCTATCGGGTGAGATAATTTGTAAGAAAAGGATTGTGTATAATACAGGGTGGTCCAAAAGTCCGTTAACATGTCATACGATGATAAAAAAGAAACTAGTTATATGTAAGAAAAAATGTTTATTTATTGTGAAAGTACACAATTTGGGATTTTATTTCTTAAAAATAACATCGTCCATATGCGATCCTTCATTATTTTGACACTGCTGCAACCTGGAGCAGAAATTTTCAATGACCGACTGATAAGTGTTTCGGGAAATGTTTTGCATTTCCTCGCAAATACGAGCCTTTAATTCCTCAAGAGTCGCTGGATCCCGTGATGTTCTAGGTCGGCCAGATCGTGGTTTATCTATTGTTGAACCAGTTTCTTCAAATTTCTGGACCCATTTTTTAATCGACTGAATCGATGGAGCTTTATTTTTATGCCGTATATTGTAATGAGCGCAAAATTTTCGTTGCGCTACAGTCGAAGAATCGTTGTTTCGATAGTACTCGCGTACGCAAAACGCACGTTGTTTCTCGTTGAATGACGCCATGGCACTAAATTCCCATCGACCGCTCTAACATTCCGCTCTAACCTCGCCCGCCCCACCTCTCCCTCGCTACTCGACGCAGCTGCCGATTCAAATGTTAACGGACTTTTGGACCATGTACTTTGCGATAATTTTCGTCAATTTGTGCTGAATTTATTGTTGTAAGAAATAAAGTAAATCTTTTGTTAAACTACAAAGGACTGTAGTTCTTCTAACTTTTGTGCGTTATACCAGCCGTATGCCGTCCTCTCGCTTCATTCTTTCGCACTCGCGCACAAATCAATTATGCTACCTTTGTAAAGAGTGCACCTCAGACTAACATAACACCAAGCTGATAAAACATTATGACATTCTAGATGTAAAGCAGTGCTGCAACGTGTGTGAACGAGTCACGTGCAAGTGTTCCGCGTAAGAGTGCGATGTGATCTAAAGACTGTGAAAAAGACATGGAAAACCACGAGCAAGTTGAACGCGAAGTTTGTTGGAGCAGTGCGGCCACTACTCTGGTGGCGCATTTCGCGTGGCTACAACGATGTGCATCAAGCAGCTCAAAGAACTTCGTCATCCAAGCGTCCGCGCCTCGCCGTTGGACAGAAACAATCCGCGGTGGCAAGAATCGCGCGACTCGCGGGATGTTACTTCAAGGTGCCGCGAGAAATTATACTTTACTACTTTATTACTAAGAAAGCGATGATCAACAGTTTGTTCAACAGACAATGCGTGTTTCGCGTGGTCGGTGGTCACCGCACTGTACTCCGTAGAAAAGATATGCAGATCGGGAATCATCATACCCGCATTACTATTGTGTTTAATCTTTCGGATATTGACTTTTCGATAACGTTCAAAGGCATTCCGAAATTCAAACGGTTGAACGCGGTGTCGATCAATGTATACGGCATCGAAAATGGACAGGTCCTTCCTCTGCGGCTCACCGATGACAAGAAGGAGAAGCACGTCAACGTGTTGCAAGATCCACGCAACGACAACCTCGGCCACTTTGCGTGGATCAAAAACCTGTCTGGTGAGATCGTAAATTACTAGGAACAAAAACAAGAAGTTTTTCTGCGATCGGTAAGTATAATAAGAAAAACCAATAAAAATAAAAAATGATTTCTCTATTTACAGGCGCCTCCATTACTTTAGCTCATGCAGTCGCACGAAGTGCACTGCCAGAAAATCAACGACCGCGCCATCCGAGCAAAAACGACAAATGGCTCGAATTCGGCATCTATAATAACCAGGAATGAGTGCCGTTCATCGTCTACGCCTGGAGTGTGTCTTAACGGAGTTAAGTGTGTCTCCAACAAAGAAGACGCGTCGTCGTACACGGATCAGCGACATGAAGCGTTTAGCATAGACTACTACGTGCAATGCGCGTATGATGACACATTATCATCGTATCACTTCTGTCGCAATGAAAATTGCATAGCGTTGTTCGCGCGACAACTCAACGATTTGGCACATCACGTGAAAAATCTCATATCCGCCAACATGCCCATAGAAACGTTGTCTAAACAGCAAAAGGAAGCGTACCGTAACACGATGCGTTGTCACATCTGCAAGAAATCGTTCGCGCCGGACGATACGTGGATCTATGATCATTGTCACTTAACCGGGAAATACCGCGGTCCAGGCATTCAAATTGTAACTTAAATTATAAAAATTTGTTTTATATTCCGATCGTTTTTCATAATTTATCGGGCTACAACGCGTATTTTATAATTAAGGAAATTGCTACCGCGTATGATGGACATGTAGATGTATTATCAATAAAACTAAAGAAAAATATATTTCGTTCACTAAACATATCGATAGCATTAAAAACAAAAATGAAAAAAATTTTCAGAAAAATTGCGTAAAATTAAGGTTCATTGATTCTTTCAAATTTCTAAATGCAAGGCTTAATAAATTGACGTCGTATCCCGACAAAGATAAATTAAAAATTGTTCCGTAACTTAAAAAATTCTTCCGTAAATTAAAAACGTTCCGAATATTCAACATTATCAGACTAAGAATTTGAATTACTCACACGAAAAGGTGTCTTTCCGTACGAATACATTGACTGCGTCAAAAAATTGCAGAACACGCGCTTACCATCGCGCAAATTATTTTTCAGTTCGTTGACAGACGTATCCGAGAGCGATTACGCTCACGCCGTGAATGTATGACGATTCTCCATCCAAACGCTCGGCCAGTACAATCTGTATTTGAAAAGTACATATACATATCTTGTTATTAGCCGACATTTTTGAAAATTTCCACGAAAGTTGCGTCGCGAGTTACGGTCTCGATCCCGCGCATTATTACGAGGGGGGACCCATAAGTTCCGGGAATTACGCTGTGGTGGGGAGGGAGAGTGGGGGAACCTATTGTTTGACCACATGTCCGTTAGTGTCACGCCATCTGCGTCAGTGTGCGAAGTTGTGTCGCTGTGAGTGCATCGGTTCGCCTGTGAGATTTTTTTTAGTAAAACAACTTTTTACATTTCGGCGAAAACGTAATGGCAGATTGTCGAGAACAACGCGCGGCTGTGAAATTTTGTGAAGCAATTTTTGACCAAAAACGCCATGACACCAATTGTCCACCCCCCATACTCACCGGATCTAGCCCCCTGTGACTTCTTTTTGTTCCCCAAATTCAAAAGGAATATGAAAGGAAAGCGTTTTGCCACTGTGGAGGAGGTGAAACAAAAATCGCTGGAAGGCTTAAAGGACATCCCGATGAGT